GAAGGAGGACGCCGCGCCGCGGCAGCGCGCCGAGGTGCACGGCGGCCTGAAGCTGCACCGAGGCTATAAAGCTCATAGGGCTGCCCATGTACATGAAGTCCCTGCGCTGGGCCCTGCCGGTCATGGCCGTGCTCCTGGCAGTGTCCACGGTCCCCATTGTGGCCCTGGCCTCTAAAACAGGAGCCGGGTGCCGGCCGTGTCCCCATGGCTGGCTGTGGTCTGGGGAGCACTGTTACTGCCTCTCTACTGAAGCTCAAGCCTGGGAGGCCAGCCAGGCTTTCTGCGCCACCCACCGTGCTACCCTCCCCCCGCTGAGCCACACCCAGGACTTCCTGGGCAGATATTCTGTCACCAAGTACTCCTGGGTGGGGGCCAGGTGAGGCCCCCAGGGCTGGCACTGGATCAATGGGGGCCCCCTGCCACCCCAGCTACTCCCAGAGGAAGACAAGGACCAGCCGGGTCTGAAGTGCTCGGCCTGGAGAGAGGCAAGCTCGTGGCTTTGGACTGCGCCTCTTCAAGACCCTGGGTCTGTGCCCAGGGGACCAAGTGACTGAGGTTCTGCCCATTCCAACCCTGTTGGGGCATACAGCCCCCGCCCCCCACACACCCGAGGGGGGCTATTCCCTGGACCCAGGCTCCTGCTGCTCCCTGCTGGGTGCCTGGGGGCCCTGCCTGAGTGAAGTGGGGAGCTGTGCCTCTGTTGCAGGAAGATCACCTCGGGGAAGGCTTTCTGTGGCCCATCTTCGCCTCCAGCTGCTGAAGAGGATTTGTTCAGAGACCTTGAGATGGTTTCTTTTTTTTTCATTTCTGAGCCTTGGTCTCCTCATGAAAATGGCCATTACCCATTCTCTCCCTTACCTGCTTAATCACAATGCACCTTTCAGTCCTAGAGGAACGGAAAGGATTAGTGATCACAGGTGAGCCCCACCTGAGTGGACATCAAGCCATGAAATGAGTGTTCCACTGGTTTGTGGCCAGAGAGCTTGTCAGCAGTGACATCCTTGCTATAAATGCCATTTCCAGGCAGAGAGGCACACAGCTGATGACCGTGTCACAGCAGGTGAGAAGTGGTGGCCCCTGGAGGAGGAAGAGGGAGGTTGCACACTGATGGCCAAGGCTGGGGCGATGCAGAGGAGAGGAGGTGAAGTTCCTGCAAAGCATGGGGTCTGACAGGAGGCTGTACCTGCATCTAATCTTGGTGCTGAGCAATCCACACAACTGTGATACTGAAGCGTAGTAATCCCTCCCTTGGAAAACTGCTGTTTAAAACTGATGTTTAAACTACTCTGTTATTTTTAGACAGTCCCTTACTTTGTAAAATAACTGTTTTAGATATGTATTTGTTTTTGCTTTGTTGTTCATAATTTTTATCTTTACCTTTTTCTTCTTCTTCCTCTTCTTAAAGAACACCCTTCAGCATTTCATATAATCTGGTTTGGTGGTGATGAACTCCTTTAGCTTTTTCTTGTCTGTGAAGCTCTTTATCTGACCTTCAATTCTACATGATAGCTTTGCTGGGTAGAGTAGTCTTGGTTGTAGGTTCTTGCTATTCATCACTTTGAATAATTCTTGCCACTCCCTTCTGGCCTGCATTGTTTCTGTTGAGAAATCAGTTGACAGTCGTATGGGTACTCTCTTGTAGGTAACTGTTTTTCTCTTGCTGCTTTTAAGATTCTCTCTTTGTCTTTTGCTCTTGGCATTTTAATTATGATGTGTCTTGGTGTGGTCCTCTTTGGATTCCTTTTGTTTGGGGTTCTCTGCGCTTCCTGGACTTGTAAGTCTATTTCTTTCACCAGATAGGGGAAGTTTTCTGTCATTATTTCTTCAAATAGGTTTTCAATACCTTGCTCTCTCTTCTTCTAGCACCCCCATAATTCGGATGTTGGTACACTTGAAGTTGTCCCAGAGG